ACTCCTGATGCTAGCTCCTGATCGCTGGCCAAAACTGGCCCACTAGGGGGGACAATATGGCCCACTTGATGAATGTTGGAAGTGAAAAGATGCAAACACTACATGTTAGTTACAAAATTGTAAAATATATAATTACATTTAATTTTTTTCTAATAAACTCGTTCATGAATGCATGAAAACAAAAAGAAAAACATGGACTTGTTGTTATCTATAGGTAATTATGCTACAATTGTACTGGTCTGGAACACTTCACATCTAATCAGGCTTAATTTGTGGCCCCTGAACCAAAATCAGTTTGACACCACTGCACTACTTGATTGACTTTTTTGAACGCTTCTATATTTGTACTACTTTATACAATAGATTCATTCATGGTTGACATTGTGTTTCTACATGCTAGGATTAACTGTACTTCTACAGTACTATAATCATTTGTCAAAAACATTTTATTCGTGAAATTACTGTAATTTAACTCTGTGTTTGTGTGTAGCTTTATCATCAGCTTTATCATTATGTTCTATTCTTTCTGCCTCTTTTTTTATTCATGCTATCATATTAGATATTCTTATGTGCCATGTAAGTATATATGTCTATGCAGTTATCTTATGTTTAGGTAGTATTCTTTATTGAAAGGTCCATTGTGTATTTTTGTTTTGTAATTTCTTTTGTAAGATGCCTTACTTAGTACAGTCATATATAGTTAACATTTCTCTACACCTACCCCAGGATGATTTTCTCTGCTGTGCCCCCATTTAGTTCATTAGAAAATTTGAAAACGTTAAAAAAAAAAATCAAAAAAAACAAACAACAAAAAAAAAAAAACCAAAACAACAAAAAAACAGGACACACAAACAGCTTTTGTTTTCAGACCTTTTAAATGTAACTGTTTTTACCTTAAAACAGTTACCTTTACACACCTTAAACTTGTCCATTGTATGGGAGGTTGCCTACTTTGGTCAGTTGACAGAAGTGAGACTTTGTGTGTGGGTGCTGGAGGACTGCCCGGGGCTGCTACTGCTGCTCCAAGCAGATTGAACGGACGGCAGCAAAAACGTGAGAAAAGTGAGAATTACAAAATAACGGCCACTTTGGGAACCTCTGCTCTGATTGCTACACATTGCACCTACAGTAAAGCAGGATATTTGTATTGATGAAACTTATCACAAGAAAGAAAATACTGACATTTACTTTTCTTTCATGAATATAGTTATGAGAAGCGACTTTACTGAAATGGTGGGAAGGGGAAATGCTTCATCAGGACCAAAAATTCCAACACCAGCAGCTATGGCTGGAGGCAGCAGACACTTGTAACAAAACTGTTACGCATATCATCTATGGAACCTGGAACTGCTTTTCTTATGTTCTTGCTTTGCCCAGTTTTTTAAAAATACAATCAACTTTTATCAATTTTTTAAAGAAGAGACAGTGAGTCAAGCCTGTTACTGGACACAGTCACACATGATCTCTGCCTCCCTTCTATGTTAATGTGATTGAGTTAGCACAGATGCAAATCATACAATAAGCCTGTAACCCTGGTAAATAAAGTGATGTTGTAATCCGGACGCCGCTGACCAGCTGAGGGTACACAAGTGTACTGTCCAAGAAAAAAAAAGAAAAGCTATTGTACTCAACATAATACATTTCATTTTTTGGGAAAAAAAAAAACAAGGATATTTGAAAACAAAAACTACATGTTTCTGAATATTATCTGACTTTTAAATTTATTACAACGTAAATAACAATGTACAATATTGTTAATTTACTCTGTAATAACATACCTTGTTGCCTGTGGTGTGGGGTTAACTCTTAGGTTAAAAGGTAGTTGAATGGAAATGAATGATAGATGCTTCTCTCAATTTACAATTCCATGTAAATTGCAGGCTGTGTAAGTCTTATATAGTATTGAAAACTTTTATAATGCAAATGCCTAAGAATGCAAACAGTTGGAATCAAGCTACATTGTTTTTATACTTTTAAATTATTGTGCTTAAGATAGGGATTCTCCATAAGTGAAAAAAATGAGAATAAATAATAGCACTAATATTTTTTTATTCAATTCAACTATGTAGTAAGAAGGTATAAGGTACTACTTAACCACAATCACGATTGGTTCTTCATCCACTAATTAGAAGATTATAAATGACCAAATGTCCTGTATTTCATTTTGTTTATTTCTATTTATATAATTTTGACTTAGATGTGTAATTATACATTTTTTAAATAGGTCTAGAGCTTGTCACAAGAACAAATACAGACAATGCATGCCAAAATGTATCTATAGATTAAAAAAATCACTGACTGTAGGGAGTACATTTTCTGTCTTTTAAGCTTTTGATTTGGAAAAAGGTCATTTTTCATGTTTTTATGTTCATGTTACATAACTTGTTTCTGCACTTCCATGATTTCTACGCTGTTTATGAACTGTTTCTATTTCATTTAAACTGGACAAATCTGCAGAAGTCATTTAAAAAGTAGAAAGAAATGAGAGTCAGTGGACCCAATTTACAACCCTAAGCTTATCCGTGGTTTCCAAATATAAATATATAAAACATCTTCTGATGCACCTGAACATATCATTGGTGATGTAACTTGGATTCATTTGGTATTTTGTGTCTTTCAACAGCCTCCAGCAGGTGAGTATAACATGACTGACCAGAGAACTTTAAGCCATTGGTGAGCCACCAGTTTATAATGTATTCCGTTCTTTATGATCAGAAGGATGTCTAGCCTCAGAAGTGTGCTATGGACAGTGGGACCGTCAGGAATTTCTCAAAATCCACACCAACTCTGGGTCATAGACAGGTTCCCTGCTGCAGCCAACAAACCCGGAGATTAGCTGCTAATAGAGCAGAGACTGCTGCTTGGTGAAATCACACTGCTTCATTGCCATTGACAACAGTCCAGAGATGCAAGGTGTGAAAACACCGTAATAGCAAAACCTAAAGCACCTCCAACTGCTCAGTAAAACGCATATAGCACTGGGCATTGTCAGGCAACCTTTCATCCAAGTACTAACAAGAACCAAGACTGGATGGTACTAAATAGTTTAATGCATTGCACATCTTTTTCAATAAAACCTATGGTTTATTGCTCAAACAAAAAAAGTTGGTCTGTTTCATACCATTTTCTCCAGACTTCCATGCATGACTTTACATTACCACTTTTTTCAAGTTTCCAAATGGCTAAAATTTTTTGCACAGCATTTTCAAGTTTTTTGTCTGTACAGACAAAGAGCAGGACCACATGGTTTGCAGACAATTACAGGTTTGGTTAATCCTCATAGCTAACTATTGATATTTCACATAATTG